ACGCGCCGCCGCCCGGATGGCTGCGGAGCCGCTGGCTCCGCCCCCGCCGCCGCCGCGCCCCTCCCGCGCTGGTGGCGCGCGCCGTGGCCGGCTCCCTCCAGGGGCGCCGCGGAGGGTGGGGTCCCTCGCTGGGCGAGGCTTCCTGCGGGTACCGCGCGCGGAGACTCCGCTCCTGGGCTCTGCAGTTTCTCCTTGGCCCGCCCAGAAACAGACGACCAAGAGGAACAGAACAAGAGAAAACGTTTTCTCTAGGACCCTTCGCGGGGAAGGCAGCCACTGCTGCAGTTCTCGTGTGAAATCTTAATAATATAAAGACATCTGTTAGGGAAGCCGAGAAAGGGCTACCTAGGGTGGAGTACTGGAATTACAGCTAGAAGGGTTTTTTGGTTTTGTTTTTGCTGGTTTTTTTTTTTTAATCTGAAGGTGCCCTCACACACTGCCCAAAACTTACTCATTTTATGAGGAAACAACCCAGTTCGACAACCTGTCCAAGGTCACAAAGCAAGGAAATTGATTCTGTACTTTGTTACTGAATTAAAGCTGCTTCAGCTTTTATTTCTCAGTCATGCAAAGAGATGCGTTCTAATTGAAGCTAGATACACAGTGTAGCAAAAAAAATTAATTAAGAATCTGTAGCGACAGAAAGTAGATTAGTGGTTGCTAGGGGGTGGGGATGTGGGGGGATGCTGAGTGACTGCTAAGATGTAGGGGTTTCTTTTGGGGGTGATGAGACTGTTCCTCAATTTGCTAGTGGTGATGGATGCACAATTCTGAATATACTAAAAAAAACCGCTGAATTGTACATTTTGAGGCAACTTTGTGGTACAGGTTTCCCTCGCTATGTGAAGTAGAGTGTTCTATGAAACCCTTCATAAGTCACAATGGCATAAAGCACAGAAGCAATTACCATAGGATACATCTTGCTAAGGAACAAACAAAATAAATGGAGATTTTAAAGCACAGATGCCCACAGACACAGTCCAAAGCTATGGCAGATTGTTGCTGAGATGCTGAGTGTAGTTCCCCAGGGAGGAGCTTGGCGGGGCTACTCTCCTTGCCCCGATTTGTGCTGCCTTTTTAAGGGCTCCCTGCAAATCAAATGCTGAATCCTATTTTTGCTTTTTGCCTTTTACATAAAAGCAAAAACCCTCTTTAGATTTCTTTCGTTTAGGGAAAATGGTAACTAATGTAGGTTTTTCGTAAAATCGAGTGGTATACAGTAAACTTTTGAAAAGCTGAGGATACCTGTATGTAAATTATATTTTAATAAAACTGTTATAAAACTATATCCAGAGTGACAATGCTTTGAGGAAACACACACAAGCACATAGGTGGAGTATGTCACAATTCTGTTCTTTGTGGTCAGAAATTATGGTTTGTATGTATGCATGCACACCTTCATTCATTCAATAAACCATGCCTATCTTTACCAGGTACTCTGACAAGGGTACAAAGATTAATAATACACGAGCTCTGTTTCCAAAGAGTTGCCAGGGTGTTGAGGGGCAAGCGTTATAATACAACAAGGTAAGTGTTACTACAAGGAGGTAAGACAGTGCCAGGTTTAGGGTCTAAAGGACCTTAAGGAAGGACCTTACTTAGCACAGTCACGGAGGGGCTGGAGTTGCGTTTGAGCAATGGCTGGTGTGGCCCAGTGTGGGAGGTGTGGCAGGAAGTGAAGCTGGACAGTTACAGGACAAAATATCACTGTGGATTCAAGCTCAGTTCAAGAGGGGCAGGCTAATCAGGAAGTAAAAATTCGAATTCCTCTGGATCGTTCTTATCCCTGGTGTAGTGTGTGATTTTGGTGAATGGTCTTAATTAGTCTAAGCCCAGTTTCATTACGCCATAGGGGCACAGTGGTATCATTAGCTGGCCTTTGTTGCTACCTTTTTGGTACACAAAGGGCTTTCTTGCGTTCTCTACTCTGAAGGTGGAGAGGTGAGGGGTTGCACTCAAGGGGTTGACATTACCAGCCTTTCAAGTTGTGAAGAAACTTCCACAGAAGTGCAAAGAACTCTTGAGCTAAGAAAGCTTTTTAAGCAGCAGCATGTGAAACTGTTGTTACACTTGGAGTTGATCTACTTCTTGATTGGGAAGTAGGACTATTATAGGCCCAAAGTGGGGGAGGGGGGAAACAGCTACTGATCTTCTTAGCTTCTCAGTTGGGTTTCTGCAAAAAAAATCGTGGATTTTAGGCTTTATGACAAAGTGGCTCTGCAGTTTTGCAAACTAGAGGCTACCTACCTGTATTGTCAGTATATAACTGACAGCATACCAACAGCATTTTTCTTTTCCACCACATTTTCTTCCATCCCTCGTGGGATTGTGAACACCTTTTGAAAATAAGTACAGTGTTCTGTTCATTTCCTTGTTTCCCCTCCACACACCTGCATCTGCATCTGCATCTATCCTCCCCCCATCCCCATCCCCACTCTCAGCACCTGGGACCCAATAGGCCCTCCATGAATGTTTGTTAAATGCTCGAGGTCATTTTATCATCATAAAGGGTATCTTTTGTTGTTGTTGTCACTAATTGTTTATAGTGCTGACATGCATTACAACTTTCAGAAATCAATTGGCCCATATAGCCTGTACACTCTAGAGTTTCAAGACAGTTGCAAGAACGTTAGAGAATTACATTCCAAATTTTAATAAGCTATGAGTTGAACTCTCAATCTAAATGCCTGAAATTTAAAAGTTAGTCTCAATCTAGGAAAGTACAATATTTTATTTTAACAGTAAATAAGCTAAGTACTTAACAGCAGAAAAATTTTAATATTTAATCGTAGAATTTTTTTTCTATGGAGATAACTTACTGGTGGTTTAAAAGATCTTTAAAATCTTTTCTAAATAGTCATTGCTTCTTTTCTTTTCCCTTTTCTGTTCCTCCTTTTAGTCTCATTTTTGTCCTTCACAGGATTATGGTATCTAATTAACATGTCAGCATTACAATTCTCTTTTCCATAAATTTCTGTGCAAAAATCTAGGGAATCCAAAAGAATGAGGCAGTGCTAATCTCCCTGGACCCAGCCTTGGGGAAAGCAATGAGAAGGCTGGAGCTACTCCTCTTGCAGGAGCAGACGCTGTCCCTCCCCAAGGAGTTATTATGTGCTGGAAGGAATGAGGTAATGAAAATAAACAAGCTATTTTGTGAATGTTATCAAACATCATCAGCCCCAGCCAGATAGATCCCTAAATAAGTATTCTTTACTAATATAAGTAAAAGCAGACGAACATGAGTTTTCTAAATGTATTCAGAAAAGAATAATTGGCACAAAAAGACCAACTTAACTGGACCACACATAACAGCTTGTGGATAACAGTCCTCGGGAAGAGGAACGTGGTGTCGTTGGGTGGGTTCAGCTGGCTGTCAGCTGTCCGCTGCCCCACTGCCATAGCTCTGCCGACTTCTCAAGCAGGCTTCCTCCTTTCCAGGTCACTTGGCAGAGAGCTGTTGGGACAGTGATCGGCTTCTGCCTCTTGGCATATTTGCGGGACCTGCTTCTATAGGTGAAAAGCCAACCAAAGATAGAGTGGAGGAGCCAAAATGTTTCCCATCTGAGCTGTCTGCAGGATCCTGGTGTTACCAGTCAACTAGCCTGGGGTTCCCTGCTGTTCTAGGAAAATCAGCGTCCCTTCATGATGAAATTTCAGGGAAGGAAGGGTACCAGGAAACAAATGACTACAGGATTTGGTAATCCAATGAAAAAGAACAACTTTGTAAGTAGCGTAAATGTGAAAATTGTGAAGTCTTTTAAAAAAAAATCAGAAAAAAAGAAAGCTACAGTTGCATAATCTAAAAAGTTGACAGTGGGGAACCATCCGCTAGCTGAGGGAAGAACACGTTACCCTGTCCGGATGATCAGGGAAAAGGCATCCTGATGGAGGTGGATTTTGAACTGACCACGAAAGATGAGTAAGGAAGAGCAATCTGAGGATGAAGGGGCGGGAGGAGCCTCTGTGTTGAGCAAACAGCGTCTGGAAAGTTTCCTGCTGTGAATATGTGTATGGTTTCAGAAGAACACACTCTGACTCGATGTGGGTGAAGTGTGGAGGGAAAACGGGTTTCTGTTCATCTGAACTGCTTCTCTGTTCTCTACCTTTGTGTACTTACAGGCTCTCCACCTCCATGTCCAGGAAAATGGATACATACTTAAGAGAGAAAAGAAACTGGCTTGAAGTAATTTAGCTGTTACCACAGAGAATAAGAAAATAAAAATGTTCATATTTTGTGAAAGTCAAGCATGCTATGTAATTATTCAGAATAAACCACTAAAAAGGCTCTTCAGTAGACTAAAGAAGAATAGTTAGCCCAAAGGAAGCTACTGTTTTGACTGTTAACTGGGAAGACATCCAAACATGTAGAATAGCCCTTGCCTTCTTTCGGAAGACTTCATAGTTATTATTCAGTGGAGCTAATTTTTGTAATTTTAGTTTCCTTCAAATGATAATAAAATAAAACAAAACCCAATGGATGTCTGTATATAAAGGAGATGGACGTCATTTCTTTTTAATAATTGACTGGAAGCATTTTTCTGATGTTGCTAAACTTCTCTCAAAAATGAATTCAAATTCTCCTTCTTTATTTTGTAAGTCTCTCTCTTTTTGATTACTTACTGGACTAGTTGAAATTGGCTCCATTTCTTTTTTCTTTTCTTGTCTCTTGGCCTATAAGAATTGTATTTCATGGCACAGGGAGAGGCGGAGAAGAAACCACCAAGGTGTTGATCTTTGAGGAATCTCAGACTGGCAGTGCTGCTGGAAGACTGGAAAAGCTAAAATTTAAATCCAGTTTTCCCAAACACAAAGAGGTCATTTCTGCAAAGTAAGCCTAATGAGCTTGCTCAGAATTCTGCGTGAAGGTCTAGACCAGGTTACTAAAAGGCTGGGTACTAGCACCTACTAGAAAGAAATGACCACCAGAGTCTAGCAGAGATTACT